AACTGTTAGTGGGGTTATAACAAAGTGGAAGCAAGTGGGAATAACAGAAACTCAGCCACGAAGTGGTAGGCCATGTCACATGACAGAGCGGGGCCAGCACATGCGGAAGTGCACAGTGCGCAGGTCGCCAACTGTCTGCAGAGTCAACAACCAAACTTGGTGTGGCCTTCAGATTAGCACAACAACAGTGCGTAGAGAGCTTCATGGCATGGGCTGCATCCAAGCCTTACATCACCAAGTGCAATGCAAAGCGTCGGATGCCGTGGTGTACAGCACCATCACTGGACTCTAGAGCAGTGGAGACGTGTTCTCTGGAGTGACCAATCACGCTTCTCTGTCTGCCAATCCGATGGATGTGTCTGGGTTTGCCAGGAGAACGGTACTTGCCTGACTGCATTGTGCCAAGTGTAAAGTTTGGTGGAGGGAGGATTATGGTGTAAGGGTTGTTTTTCAGGGGTTGGGCTTGGCCTCCTAGTTCCAGTGAAGGGAACTCTTAAGGCGTCAGCATACCAAGACATCTTGGACAATTTCATGCTCCCAACTTTGTGGGAAGAGTTTGGGGATGGTCCCTTCCTGTTCCAACGTGACTGTACACCAGTGCACAAAGCAAGGTCCCTAAAGACACGGATGAGCGAGTTTGGGGTGGAGGACTTGACTGACCTGCACAGAGTCCTGACCTCAACCCCATAGAACACCTTTGGGATGAATTAGAGCGGAGACTGGGAGCCAGGCCTTCTCGTCCAACATCAGTGCCTGACCTCACAAATGATCTTGTAGAAGAATGGTCAAACCTTCCCAAAGACACCCTCCTAAACCTTGTGGACGGCCTTCCCAGAAGAGTTGAAGCTGTTTCTGCTGCAAAAGGCGGGGCCAACTCAATATTGAACCCTACAGACTAATGCAGGCCATAGACGGGGAGAAAAACCGGACGGTTTTTTAACAAAAAAACAAAAAATCGGCCGTTCAATAGGCCGACGTTACCACCAACAGTAAAAAAAATCAGCCAATTTTCTTCCCGTCTATGGCCGGCATTTAATTACTTCTGTCCCTGCAGAGAGCTGCGCTATTATATTTGACATTAAAAAGTATTGCGGTTGCAACAATGTATCTATTTGTATCCATTTTGGATACGGATGGGTTTTTTTTTTTTGGATACAAATAGATACATTGTTGCAACCACAATACTTTTTAATGTCAAATATAATAGCGACTGGAATTCTTCTTCTTTCTCTTCTTCTTCTTTCTCTTCTTTTTCTTCTTCTTTTCTCTTCTTCTTCTTCCTCTTCCTCTTATTCTTCTTTTTCTTTTTCTTGCAGGTCACAACTCATGCGCAGATTTTTTTATCGGTAAAAAGATTGGCCGATTTGCCCATCATCGCCGCGCAAATCAGCCGATCTGCAAAATCGGCCAAATTTTTTCCAACTTTACCGATCCAAAAAATCTGACAATCCAGAAAAACAGCCAACCAATTAACCCCTTAACGGTGCAAAAATCGGCCGATTTTTTTTCGTCCAAAAAATCAACCGATTTTTGACCCATTTATGGCCTGCATTAGACTGGGATGCCATTAAAGTTCATGTGTGTGTAAAGGCAGGCGCCCCAATAGTTTTGGCAATATAGTGTATATTATACAAATCCACTGTTTCCCATTGGGAAATCTGCCCTAAGAAATGCCATGAAGCCATAACTGGAGAACATGTCAGTGGGAAATGGCTGCAAAGAGGCTGCAGGAGATCAGTAGCACGGAGGTGTAACAAAGGGTTAAAACAAGGATTTTATTAGCAATCGTTTATGATACATAGAGCAAAAACCATATACCATCCAGTTAGGTCTTATGTCTCCTTTTACCACTGCTGCAAACCTGCCTTGAATATGTTTTGTTATTCGGATTCTTTCTCCATTGCAGCTTTGTCTCTTGCAGACTCAGACTTTCTCTATTATCAATGATTATGGCATCTCAGCATCATTCGGACAATCAGTACGGCACAATGTGTCCAAAAGATGTCCTCTATAGACGCTGTCCTGTGCCGCGAGGCCATTGGTTCTCTCCAACCAGACCGTGTCCCTGAACATAAAGGAGACTCATTAACTGGTAACACGCAGCTGTGCAGACTCAGTCTGGGCTAATGTACAGAACAGACAACAATTAGCATTTAATGACTTTGTTTTATGTGAAGGAAGCAATGTTCTCTTTTTACTACAGAGAAGTAAGAACTTTTCACTGCCAGTAAATGATGTCTGATCCTCGGAGGGAACCGCATTCAGTCCCCATATATGTGAAGCTGAATTCTGGGCACAAAAACTTTCATTTAAATATCTTCCTCAATAGCCACAAAGGAGATAAATCCGCTCTGTGTGTAGCAAAATGCCTGTGCACATCTAGATATTAAAGTGATACTAAACCCACAACAGTGAAATCAGTCTGTATATGCAGTAAAGCATGCTTGTTATACTCACTGTGGATCCTAAGGGGTTAATCCTCTGCATTGTGTAAAAAGGCTGTTTGATCCTGTCTTCTCTGCCTCTCCTCTTGTTGAAATGTCCACCTGATACAGACTGAACCCGTGGTCACATGCACATGCTCAGTTTGGTGTGTATTGCTAGAGAGGGTTTTTTTTTTCTTGGGAGGGTGCATGTGATCAGCACAGGGCCAATCAGCACTGTCCAGACAGAGGTCAGGGGTTCTGCATCCTCCTAGATCAGAAAGAAAACTCCTCCTACAAGCTTTAACCAGTACTCTGTTGAAGTCACAAGACTGCTCTAACTGCTGATGAGAAAAGGTATTTAGCAATTTATATTTACTAAAATAATTGCACTTCCATGTGTGTACTGTGTGGGAGACCAGGGAGACCTAATATAGTGAATGCAGGGTCCAGGGAGACCTAATATAGTGAATGCAAAGTCCGAGGAGACCAGATATAGTGAATGCAGGGTCCGGGAAAACCAGATATAGTGAATGCAGGGTGCGGGGAGACCTAATATAGTGAATGCAGGGTCCTTGGAGACCAGATATAGTGAATGCAGGGTCCTGGGAGACCAGATATAGTGAATGCAGGGTCCGGGGAGACCAGATATAGTGAATGCAGGGTCCTGGAAAACCAGATATAGTGAATGCAGGGTCCCGGGGAGACCGGATCTAGTGAATGCAGGGTCCGGGGAGACCAAATATAGTGAATGCAGGGTCCGGGGAGACCAGATACAGTGAATGCAGGGTCCGGGAAAACCAGATATAGTGAATGCAGGGTCCAGGATTTAGTAACTCTTTAACTTGTAAAAGTAGTAGTGACAACATCACTGTGCTGTACATAGTATGTGGAGAGAGCAGAGCTGCCTATATGGAAGAAAAATATATGGAAAATATATTTTTAAAATATTCTTCCTAAATATATTGCCATATATTTGAAATGCTACAATTTTGGCCATATTCAATATATTTCAAAATATTTCAAAAGGACGACGTGTTCAGTGGGCGGGGCCATGGCACTCTCCACTCACAGTATTTTTTCAGTCTTCTGGGTTGAGAAAGGATGCCGTGCTTGGTGGGTGGGGCCATGACACTGCACTCACAGTATTTTTTCAGTCTTCTGGGTGGACAAAGGACAATGTGATTGGTGGGCGGGGGCCATGACACTGCACTCACAGTATTTTTTCAGTCTTCTAGGCCGAGAAAGAACGCAGTTCTTGGTGGGCGGGGTCATGACACTCTGCACTCACAGCATTTTTTCAGCTCTCTGGGTTGAGAAAGGATGACGTGCCCGGTGGGTGGGGCCATGACACTGCACTCACAGTATTTTTTCAGTCTTGTGGGTGGACAAAGGACAATGTGATTGGTGGGCAGGGCCATGACACTGCACTCACAGTACTTTTTCAGTCTTCCGGGTTGAGAAAGGATGATGTGCTTAGTGGGAGGGGCCATGACACTCTGCACTCACAGTATTTTTTCAGTCTTCTGGGTTGAGAAACTTAAACGTCAGTCAGTCTGGAAGACTAAGGGCATCTTGTGATGAAAAAAAATACTGCAGAGGGCAACAGGTAAGAGGTGGATATTCCAATCAGTTGAAAAAAAGGGACAATTTAAAAAAAATAGCCCAGAGTTGAACCTAAAATTTGGGCCACATATAAAGTCCAAGTCTCTCTTGTTGGAGGTTACTGAGGGCTAAGGATTCCCTCCCTGCCTAAAGTGACAGCACTTGAGCCTATAGACTAGCTGATCAATTATCAATCACTGAATCACAGGAGGAAGCTATGTATTCCCCATACCTATCTGGTTATCTCTTTCCAACAGGCAGCAGGATGGAACCATTTAGGAGCAAAGGAAAGATGAGTATATGGAAGGGGGAAGGAGCAGCATTTAGCCCTCACGCACAGGGGACATTTTAATATCTCTGGTAACGTTAGCTGTATAAAGTCATGTTACAAATGTGAGTTTTTCAGCTTCTTTTAGCGTTTTTGCATTAGCGTTTAGTGGCATTTTGCTGCGATTAGCACCGTTTTTTTTTTTCCGCGTTTGCATTTTTAGCATTTTTTTACCAAACAAAAAAAATGTTTTTTTGGTCATAAAAGTCCAAGAACGCTGGTTTGCAGCATTTTACCGTGTTTTACCACGTGTTGCTGGGTTTGTCAGCATTTTTACAGCTAAAAAACTCCTCTAAAAACCCACCCCTGGGTTTTTTTTTCCAGCCAAAAAACGTTGATTGCAGCCTATGTGTGCATGGACACATAGGATCAGGGGCGGACTGAGAACTCATGGGGCTCCCGGGCAATAGGGGATCATGGGGCCCCTGTGTCCTTGCCCAAACTCAAAAAAAGCCTATGAAAAAGGTACCAGGGACATCTCATGGGGCCCCCTACTGACCCCGGGCCCTCGGGCAGTGCCTGAGTTTCCAAATGGTCAGTCTCCCCCTGCATAGGATAACATACTGGGGGGTTTACTGGGTCTAGAAAAAAACTGTCAAAAGCCAAAAACAGCCGCTGTAAAAACGTCAAGTGTGCATGAGGACTTAACCTCCCTGGCGGTATTCCCGAGTGTAGCTCGGGGTAAAGTTTCAGCACCAAAAGCGGTAACCCCGAGCTACACTCAGGAATACCCTGCAGCATTGCTCTGGGATCTCTTCTACACTTACCTTGTCCTTCGCTCCCATGATGTCCCTCCTGCAGTGTCCCCTGTAATGTCCTCCGGCCGATGTCGGCATCTGTCTTCCTGGTTCCGCTCCCTGTGACCTCAGGACGTACAGGGGACGGAACTGGCGGGAAATTTAAAAATGTCAAATAGTGACATTCACTAAATACACTATTGCTTGAGGTGATTGTATTAGTGCATTTGCGACAGAAACAATTGAGTACTGTCCGTGATACTTTTTTTATTTGCACTAACATACAATTTTGAGGACAAGCTTTCGGGGAATGTCCCCTTCTTCAGGTCTAAGCAGTACTGTACAAAGATTTAGCAGAATGTTAGAAGAGATGAAGGGGATGGGAAAAAAAAAAACAGAGATAAGACACAACAAAAGCAAAGTCTGGGGGGGGGAAGACAACACTAGCAGAGGCAGTCATGCTTGAGCTAATAGTCATACAACTGTTGGATGATGATTGAGGAACCCCATGTCCAAATTCAGGCCGTTATCTCTTGTGTCAGATAGAATTATCATTCTTAGTTCAAAAGTTTTTCTTTCCTGAATGGACTTGAAACTTCCTTTAAGAACTAAAATATTGAGGTCTCCCATTGTGTGGCCTGGTTGTGCGAAATGGTGTCCTACAGGTGTGCAGAGGTCATCTTCTTTATGTTCCTTGATGGTATGTCTGTGCAAATTCATCCTTGTTTGCAACTTCTGTCCTGTTCCGCCTACATAAGATCCTATGCTGCATTTTCTGCACTGGATAAGGTACACAACATTACTAGAGGTGCAGCTGTATGAGCCAGAAATATTGAAGATCCTTTTTGAGTGTCTGAGACTTTTTGATGGATTGATTTGGTTGCACAGCTTGCAGCATTTCTTATTGCAGGGTTTGCTTCCAGTATTTGTGACATCATAATCAGAAGGAAGTTTCCTACTGATTAGTTTATTTCTGAGGTTGGGGGGGGGGGGTTGTCTGAAAGCTAATATTGGTGTTTGCTGGAATATTTCTTTCAGAGTTCCATCCTCTGTTATGATGGGTTGTAAATCTTTGATTATTATTCTTATCCCTTCTAGTGCCGGGTTGTATGTGGTTACTAGAGGTACACGGTTGTTTGTTTTTTTCTCTTTGTACTGAAGTAGATTTTCCCTTCGTGTTCTCAAGGCTGTGTTTATGCTGGTGTTGATAGTTTTGTCCTTGTAACCTTTCTTATGGAAGGAGTCTGCTTGTGTCTCGAGATGTGTATCTCTGTCTCTTGGGTCAGAACATATTCGGTGGTATCTAATAGCCTGACTGTGTATGATGGCACGTTTCGTGTGTTGGGGGTGGAAGCTGGAACTGTGGAGGTAGTTGCATCTGTCAGTGGGTTTCCTGTATATTGAGGTGCGAAGCGTATCATCCCTGATGTATACTATGCTGTCTAGGAAGTTGACGTGTGTGTTTGAGTATTCCATTTTTAGTTTGATTGATGGATGAAAAGTGTTGATCAATGAGTAAAATTGTTTTAGGTATTCTTCACCTTCTGTCCACATGATGAAAATATCATCAATATAGCGATAGTATCTGTATGGTTTTTGTTTCATGCTGTTCAGGAATTTTTCCTCCAGGTCAGCCATAAATAAATTGGCATATTGGGGTGCCATTTTACTTCCCATCGCAGTACTCATACATTTTACTTCCCATCGCAGTACTCATACATTTTACTTCCCATCGCAGTACTCATACATTTTTTACTTCCCATCGCAGTACTCATACATTTTACTTTCCATCACAGTACTCATACATTTTACTTCCCATCACAGTACCCATACATTGAAGATAGATGTCTTTATTGAAAGTAAAGTAGTTGTGTGTAAGTATGAATTCAATGAGTTGTGTAACATCCTCAGCAGTGTATTTGTGGTTTGGTGAGGATGATAAGGATCTGTGACATGCAGCTAATCCATCCTTCTGAGGGATATTACTGTACATGGATACTACATCCATAGTCACTAGAAGTGTATTAGATGGTAATTGCTGTATGTTGTTGATCTTGTTCAGAAAGTCAGTTGCGTCTTGCAGGAAACTAGCAGTATTGTTGACTAACGGTTTTAACATTTTTTCTACAAAGCCTGAGATTTGTTCGGTGAGTGTATTCATACCTGTTATGATGGGTCTGCCTGGATTTCCTGGCTTGTGGATTTTGGGCAGCGTGTAGACGTCCCCAATTTCTGGATGATCCGGAATCGCATTTATAAGTTCTGAATGTAGGTGAGCTGGAAGTGTTTTAATGAGACCTTTTAATTGCTTTGTAAAGTCCTGGGTTGGATCATAATCCAGTTTCTTATAGTAGATGGCATTTTCCAGCTGCCTCTGGCCTTCTTGTATGTATTTGTTTGTATCCATCACAACAACTGCTCCCCCTTTATCCGCTGGTTTGATGGTGATGGCCTGATTATTGCGCAAATCCTGTATAGCCCTTCGCTCTAGTGGTGAAAGATTGTACAGAATTTTCTTTTGCTGGGTGGATATCAGGGATGTAGCTCGCAATCTGAAACTGTCAATATAGGTGTCCAGTTTGGGGTTGCGTCCTTGTGGAGGTGTGAAGCAACTGTTCTTTTTCTTTGTGTAGCACTCCATTGTCCTACGATTCCTTTCATTACTGTGGAAATATTCTTTGAGCCTAATGCAGGCCATAGACGGGGAAAAAAACAGATGATTTTTCTTTAAAAAAATGAAAAAATCGCTCGTTCAATCGGCCGATGTTACCAGGAACGGTAAAAAAAATCGGCCGATTTTCATCCTGTCTACAGCTGCCAAAAAGTGTCCCTGCAGAGAGCTCCGCTATTTCTTTGACAGTTCTTTGGCATTTATAGCGGCTACAACATTGTATCTATTTGTATCCATTTCGGATACAGATGTTTTTATTCGGAAACAAATAGATACATTGTTGCAGCCGCTATAAATGTCAAAGAACTGTCAAAGAAATAGCGGAGCTCTCTGCAGGGACACTTTTTGCCGGACTGGAATTCTTCTTCTTCTTTATCCTCTTCTTTTTCCTCATCTTTTTCTTCCTCTTCTTCTTCTTCTTCATCCTGTTCTTCTTCTTCCTCCTCTTCTTCATCCTCTTCTTCTTCTTCCTCTTCTTCTTCATCCTCTTCTTCTCATCCTCTTCTTCTTCTTCCTCTTCTTCTTCTTCTTCTTCTTCTTCCTCTTCTTCTTCTTCTTCTTCTTCTTCTTCTCTTCTCTTCTTCTTCCTCTTCTTCTCCTCTTCTTCATCCTCTTCTTCTTCTTCTTCATCCTCTTCTTCTTCATCCTCTTCTTCTTCTTCTTCTTCCTCTTCTTCTTCATCCTCTTCCTCCTCTTCTTCTTCTTCCTCTTCTTCTTCATCCTCTTCTTCTTCTTTTTCTTCTTCTTTTTGTCTTCCTCTTGCAGGTCACTGCTCATGCGCAGATTTTTTATCGGTAAAAAGATCGGCTGATTTGATTTGCCCATCATTGCCGCGAAAATCAGCCGATCGGCAAAATCGGCCGATTTTTTTCAAACTTTACTGATAAAAAAAAATCTGCCAAAATACCGAAAAAAAAAAACGGCCGACCTATTAACCCACTAATGATCCAAAAATCAGCCGATTTTATTTTCGGACGAAAAATCGGCCGATTTTCGACCCATCTATGGCCTGCATTAGTCTCCTGAAGAAATCCTCCATATCTGACAATAATTGTAAATGATCCAATTTGGTGGTTGGGCAGAATGTAAGGCCTTTGGAGAGGATGGTTAATTCTGGTTCAGAAAGTTTATGATTTGACAAGTTGATGATTCCAAGTTCCTCTGTTATATCCACATTTTCAGTCAGGTCAGGATTTACACAAGGGATCCCTTGGGATTCCGGATTAGATTCCAGATCACTGATAGTAGGAGCTATAGATGTTGGGTTGCTTTTATGTTTATGTTGTATCCAAAAGGTCTGCTCTTGGTGTAGCTTCTGAAGTTTTTTTTGCTTCCCATTCATGGCAAGTTTTTGTGTTTGTCTTTGTAAAATTTCCAATTCATTCTTGATTTGGTTAATGTTGGTAGGGTCCAATGATGTTAGAGTTTCAAACAAAGACTGCTTTTGTATCCGGATAGTTACCCTTTTTCCATACAGTTTGTGAATGAGGTGATTCCTTAATCTCTCGCTGGTGAGTCTGCAAAGTCCTTCTGCATAAGGAGAGTTGATTGTATCTACGCAAGGATTTTTAATCCGGAGGCCTTGTGATATGAGATTCCTCTTTTTGCATCTTGAGAGAAAGAAAATATCACTGTTGATCTGTGTTTCCTTTGTAATAAGGTTGGTTAACTGCTTCTTTATGCGGCTATATGCAGTATCTTCCATTTTGCTTGAGGTGATTGTAGCCGTATTAGTGCATTTGCGACAGAAACAATTGAGTACTGTCCGCGATACTTTTTTTATTTGCACTAACATACAATTTTGAGGACAAGCTTTCGGGGAATGTCCCCTTCTTCAGGTCTAAGCAGTACTGAAACAAAGATTTAGCAGAATGTTAGAAGAGATGAAGGGGATGGGAAAAAAAACAGAGATAAGATACAGCAAAAGCAAAGTCTGGGGGGGAAGACAACACTAGCAGAGGCAGTCATGCTTGAGCTGATAGTCATAACTCTTCTAAAATTCTGCTAAATCTTTGTTTCAGTACTGCTTAGACCTGAAGAAGGGGACATTCCCTGAAAACTTGTCCTCAAAATTGTATGTTAGTGCAAATAAAAAAAGTATCACGGACAGTACTAAATACACTAAAATCACATAGTATAACATTCCTGTATCAAACCATTTCACATACATTTTGTCCCGAGTGCTTTGTCCTGTCCCCTGCCTGCATTTTTACTGTTCTTTCTGCCTGGAAACTGAGAAACGTCCATGGCGTCCAAAAAGCGTCCCTTTAGGTCAAAAGTGGTTTTAGACCGGCTAGAGAACAGTGATAGTAAATCAGAACCACTTGCAGAATTGAGTGATAATGATTCGTCATCAGACACTGAAAACGATTCTGCGACTTTGCTCAGTGATGTGCGAACTTGGCGCTATATTTCAGTGTTTTTGGTTTGATTATATTATTGAATTAAATTTATTATTATATTATTATTTTTTATGATTATTTATTAAATTATAATTTATGATTTTGTGTTTCAAATTTTAACATACCCGGGATGTTTACTAGACTCTTGTTCGGACAGATTTCAGTGAGTTATTCCTAAAAATTACAGGCCTATAATAAAAAAAAATACATATTTCCATGCAAAATAATGTACCGCTTTGAGCACAGAAATACTGACATAATCAGACCGCTAGGGAGGTTAAGTGTGTACTACTCCACTTTTATTGAGCAAAGAAAGACACTCCCCACTCGGTGATCAATGTACATCGCATGGATTTGAAAGCACTTTGCTTCAGATTCCTACTTATTTCTGCTCTTAAGAAATAGCTGTTTGTTGCACCATGTCATTTCATGCATGGGAAGTTCTGGTTCATTATAATCACCTGGTGGCAGGGGCGGACTGACCATTTGGAAACTTGGGCACTGCCCGAGGGCCCAGGGTCAGTAGGGGGCCCCATGAGATGCCCCTGGTACCTTTTTCATAGGCTTTTTTGAGTTTGGGCAAGGACACAGGGGCCCCATGATCCCCTATTGCCCGGGGGCCCCATGAGTTGTCAGTCCGCCCTGCCTGGTGGACTCTCAGGTTCTGATGAGGGAAGTTGCAGTGTCAGTATCCCTTTAGAGGTAATTAACCCTTTTATTATCTCACCAGTACTGAAATTCCTATTGCAGGGGTTGCCTAATATCTGACTTGTATCTCAGTGCAGGTGTCTGGGAAAATCAGTGAGCCAATCACACAAGCAGGAAATGACATTTCTGGGGGCATTCTGTACATCATTTGTTTAGAGAAGGCCTCCAGAGTGAAAAGGAAAGGTCATTAAATTACAAAATGACCTGCGTAGCAATTGTTGTTTTTTTTTTTTTATTTGCTATATTTTGTGTCTACTAAAGTGGAGTTATCCTTTATGTGTACTTGCTGTTTTGCCCCATTCTCAGGCACATCTTCCTATGTTGTGAGACTCTTTGATCCATTTGACAATAAGAAGCATGTACCTGTGCACGTGTTACAGAATTATTGGTGACCTGAGTGCGAGGTGTGACAAAGATGCAGCCTGCAGTATCTATATCAAAGAGGAGAGCACAAAACATATGCTGCTCACTTGCATTCCGTGTTTAATGTGTCAATGTGTTAATGTGGGTCACATTATACAGATAATGGCTTTCTTTAAGTGGCAGTGCAGGCCACATGGAAAAGAGCATCGATTTGTATTAGAGTTACCACTACAGGATACAGGATACTAAACAAAGAAAGTGAATGTCAGAACAACCACAAAACTGAAGGAAGATAGCATAAACAAAGTGTGACCTACCTGTACAAAAGATTTACATAGTTAGTTAGTCTGGCTCATAAAAGACAAAAGTCCATCCAGTTCAACCAATAAAAAAACATGTGCTGCTCCCTTCCATTCCGAGTTTAATGTGAGCCTGTTGGCATTAGTCTCCTGAAAATCACACTACAAATCATTAGAGCTCCCTCTAGCGGTAGATTAGTTATAGCATCACTTATTTATTTAATTGCTACACACGCTCCTAGTTATGAGCCTGCTCTTTCACTGATGGCCACAGGTCTCCATTTAATGATCGGGAACCACTCAGTCCAGTTGCACATCATGTGATCTCTGCAACAGCCAATCATGGTGATCTTACAGACTGGAGATTTGTTTATAAATCTCTCTCTCTCTGCCGAATCCATGTATGGCAGGCCTAAATTGATTGTGAGCTTCTGACACGCAGGATTTTTTTTCAGCAGGAACACGGAGGAATGCAGCACCTCCAGCACAATGTACAGTATGTATTGGCAAGGGGTGTGCTGAAGGATCTATTGATGCTGGCTGCTGGGGGATCTATTGTCACTAGTTGGGATCTGTTTTTGTGTGAGGGTCTGTTGTTGCTGAGGGGGGGGATAATGTTGTTGGAAGGTCTTATGTTGCTGGTAGAGATCTACTGTCAATGGAGAGGTTACTGGCTACTAGGAAATCTGTTGTTGCTGCTGGGGGTCTAATGTTGCTGGAGGGTCTTATGTTACTGGTAGAGATCTACTGTCAATGGAGAGGTTACTGGCTACTGGGAGATCTGTTGTTGCTGCTAGGGGGTCTAATGTTGCTGGAGTGGGATCTATTGTTGGGGGGACCTATTGTTGCTGGGGTGGGGACCATTGTTGTGTGGGGGATCTATTGTTGCTGGGGTGGGTCTATTGTTGCTGGGGAATCTATTGTTGCCGCCTGCAGGGGATCAATGTTACTGTTTTTCTTGTTATCATTAACAAATTCCATACACACTATTTAGCACCACAAAATGATACTTGGTTCTGTATCCTCTAAAAGGGGCGGTACTGGGAGGTGGGTAGGGGGTGGAACCAAGGGGCAGGTAGGGGAGGAGACAATGGGGGACTCCAGGGGAGTTCCCCTGAAATGGGAGTTCCTGCACCTATTTTCTGAGAGAAAAAGGTCCTGCTGACATGAAATATGAACAAAGCATTTTCCTCTATAGTGTGGACTTCCAGAGCACTAAATGTAATTTCCTATCCACTGCCTCCTTCCTCTGCTATCAGCATGAGTTACTTCTGACAGGTTTTCCTGACACCAAAAAAAATTGTGACAGGAGAGGCAGCACACAGCCTGCGATTGACAACCTCAGCTCTGTTCCTGTGTGCTATGTGAAGGGGGGGTTCCCTCCAACCAACTCCCACTGAGCTCTGCAGAGTGTAACTTCAGCTCCTTGTCCCCTGTTTTCTGAACTCTCAGACAAGCTGTATAAATTCTGTTTTTTGAACAGATGTAGAGGAGAGAGGACTGTAGCTAAAAAAGTACAACTTATGTAGGAGGATTTGTTTCACCTCTGTATATCACCTGAGGCCAGTCACTTCACTGGGAGTATGTAAGGGTTTAACAATGCTGATCATCATACTGAGGACATCTAATAGCAGAAAAAAGTACTGCAGGGGACATATCTGGATTGAAGGTGAATATTGCAGCACACACTGTTTTGTTATTTTATGTTTTACTGGTCCAGGGGCGGACCGACCATTTGGAAACTTGGGCACTGCCCGAGGGCCCGGGGTCAGTAGGGGGCCCCATGAGATGCCCCTGGTACTTTTTTCATAGGCTTTTTTGAGTTTGGGCAAGGACACAGGGGCCCCATGATCCCCTGTTGCCCAGGGGCCCCATGAGTTGTCAGTCCGCCTCTGTACTGGTCTATTCATTGGTACCATATTTTTTGTCGGGGTTCAGCTTTAATTTGTTCTTCCAAGAACAAAGCATGAAATGGAAATACTTTGAAGCTCAGTTTTTACTTGATCTGTGCAAAAAGAAAATAAAACAAAGTATTTACACCACATCAGAAAATGGAATAAAAAGCCGCTACGTGACTTCAGTTATTTTCAATTAAACTCAGAACATGAATCGGCTCAGTTCACATGGAGCCGTTAGAGGAGCCGTCAGCAATAAAAATCTGCAATTGTTTATCATAAAGTATTAGGAGCTCCAGTCTGATAGAACATATATCTGGGTTTGAAAAGTCCAGTAATGGCAGCTTGTTTAACCCCTCAACTACTGGGCACTTATACCCCTTCCTGCCCGGGCCAATTTCCAGCTGTCGCACTTTAAGTGACAATTGCGCGGTCATGCAACACTGTACCCATATGAAATTTTTATCTTTTTTTTTTTAGACAGATAGAGCTTTCTTTTGGTGGTATTTAATCACCTCTGGGTTTTTTATTTTTTGTTAAACAAACCAAAAACAACTGAAAATTGTGAAAAAAAAAGTTTTTTTCTTAGTTTTTGTTATAAAATTTTGTAAAGAAGTGTTTTTTTTTTCTCCTTCATTGATATGTGGTAATGAGGCTGCAGTGATGGGCACTGATAGGCTGCACTGATGGACACTGATGAGGAGGCACTGGTAGGTGGCACTGATGGGCATTGACAGGCATCACTGATGGGCACTGAAAGGCATGACTAATGCACCATAGATAGGCTTGTCCACTCCTACTTCCACCTTTACCTATCCATACCACTCCACACCCCCTTGACCAACTAAACTTTACAAAAAACATGACACCATTTGGAGTAAATGGCCAACATGGCCTTTTATTAACAACTTCACATTTAACATACATCAACCGTTCCTTAACAGAGACCAAAGAATTGTTGTTGGTCTTCAAAGGCACCCACAAACGATCCAAAATGCACCTGCGGACAACCCTATACACTAGGCCTCCAGCCGCAACCAACCAGCTCGGAGACAACCATACCGTCCACAGTGCAGCACCACCACCTTCCAGTTAAACCTTGGTTAACTGGGAATATCCACCGGGCCCCCCATACCACGGATGGGGTCCCACACCATTGTTTTACCTTCCAAGATGAGAACCGCCTCCAAAGACCAACAACCGCCCACGAACCAACGAAAAAAACCCCTTTCCAACCGGTGTCCATTTTTTTTTTTTTTTTTTCTCTTTCTCACCTGCACCCGGACGAGACCCTATACCCAACCAAACAGGGAGGGTGGGAGGGAAGCTCTGGTCCTTGCCACGTCCAGCTCCACTGACGCCCCTTCCGCAGAACCCCCCACCCTAAGGTACCACAGACCCCTCCTACACTCCACATCCGCCAATACTATAATTCCCCAATCAATTCCCCACCCCCTGGAGCTAAATTTAACCCTTTACGTTCCCTACACCACTCTGGGCCTA